TTCAGCTGTTTGTTACAGGATTATTTGTAAATAAATGCTACCTGAAAAGTAAGGAGATTGTATTCACATGGTGTATCTAGGTGGTACCCATGATAACCTAGGGTGCAAGATTAATATAGCAACTGTAAAGGCTATATAATCTTCAGGAAAAAAGTATTCTCCCTGGTATCTCTGAAAGCCCTGGATTCAGTTTAATCTCTAGGCAGTTGCATGTCATAACAAGTTTTCCAGAGAAAAACACAAGCTCTAGTAATCAGCTGATGCCCTATTTGCAACTTCCTACCTCTGGATAGAAAATAAAATACTATTTTATTTGTTGACATCTGTGAATCATACTTTGCATTTTTGGAGTACTGAACTGACCCAGAATTTATTATCTGCATGAATGCAGTCAGTTTGATTAGCGATCAGCTCTCATAAAGTTGTGATAATATAGCAACAAGATTGATGTTACATTTAGTCTGATTAATAGTCCATACCTGTACTCAAAAGGAAGGTGAATGCATGATATTCCATAAAATACGGGAAAAGCATTTGGTGCTATGAATGGAGGTGATACAGCTTTGCTGTGTAATCCGTCGTGAATTGTTCTGTTTTATGATGCTAGTCTCCCTTAATTGTCCCAGTAACATTTGTTAAAGCTATGTAAGGATATGTTCCTCAACTGAGATTAAAATCAAGCCTTTGAAAGTTTGACTCTAACACGAGCCTAAAGTTTGGAACTTGACTAGACTACTAGAGGAAGTCGAATAATGAATTAGCAGTGGTAAAGGTGGTGTCATTTAAAGACTTCCTTAATATGTTTCCAAGCACTTCAATATGCCAGATTTCTCTCTTGCCTCGTGTCCCTACCAATAAAAAGTGTACAACAATCTGAGATACTGCACTGTTTTCTCCTTCCAGTTTTTTATGTCTCCAGCACATGCTTGATCTGATCCATGTTTCTGTCTGGCCTGAGATGCCATTTAGATGCTCTAGTGAATAAAGCTGGATGCCATACTGACTTGCATCTATCTACAGGAATTAGGAGGAGGAGAATAAATCAAAACATCCCTATTTCTTCTTCCCTCACAGTGCCTTTTTTTTTGTTGATTTTTCTTTTCCTTTTTTTTCTTTTTTTTATTACTGTAGTTTGATCATTGATGTGGATTTCAAACATCATTGGTTTGAAATCTGCTTGAAATCTCATTGATTTAAAGAAAACCTTGTCCTGTCAACCAAAACAATAATCTAGTGAGCTTATTTTTCTGGTGACTAAAGCTGGAAACTGTTGAGCGTCCAAATGGTATTCAGAAGAATCGTAACTTAAATGTACAGAATTCGCCCATAAAACTTAGTTACTCTGTGTGTGTAACTTTATTAGCCATCAAAAAATGCATATATATATACACACACACATATAATTCTGTGTGGTGTATACACTGTTTGCTAAAATGAGGTTCTTATTTCTAACAGTGATTTCTGGATGTTACCACTTAGTGCACAAAGACTTGATTTACTACTTTTGACTCAGCAGATACTTCTGCTGGCCTCAGCTGTGCTTCCTACCAATTATGCAGTTAGAATTTAAACTAACAATGCTTGGAAGAGCACCATAGATAGAATCTTTTTAAAAAATGTTGACTCTCATCATTTAGGAACTTAATGGTCAAATTGTACATTGCTTTGCACTTTGAAAGAAAATTATTCTCTCTCCTCAACACTGCCGTCAACAAATTAGAGAATGATTTATACCAGTAACTGATACTCTGCAACTGCATTTCTTGCATTACAGAAAATCTGCTCAATGAGATCAGCACAAACCCCCAAACATTTGTTTATGATAGTCTTACTACAAGATTGTATCATTCTTGGGTGTTGTCTTAAGCATATTTACATTAAAACATTGCAATCACAAAGCTGGTGAGATTAAAGATATCACTCTGGAAAATCACGTAAGTAATAATTCATGAGTCTCCCGTTTTCTGCCATTCATGTTCTCTTCCTCTGTCTGCCCCCTTGCAAAAAGAGGAAAAAGAAACTGTAAAAGTCCCAAACCATAAAATGGCAGATTCACAACATTCACAAATATTTCCTGAGTCAAGGGAAAAACTGCCAGCAGAATGACTTCATGCTTCATAAAGTTTAATTTTTATGCTTGGACTGGAGAACTGGTGATCCTACTGTGTTAAAGCATATGCTGCATGATGAGTCACTGACGTTTGGTTTTTAGCAGAGGATGAGAACACTCAGTTCAGTTGTACCCTTTTTCAAGTGTGAAATCTGATCCTCCTTTGGATATTATATTAGCATGTTATTCTTAAGATGAAGTTTAATAAACTTTTTGTGAATATTCCAAATGTTAAATTTGTTCTGAAAGTGACCTCTTACTGTCAATGCCCCAAAATACATGTTGTTGAAGAAAAACCTTGGTTTTAAAAATAATGTTTAGCATATTACATCATCATCTTTCTAAATCTTCTGAAAAATGGATGGCATGATAGCATACAGAGATCCAAATAATGTCTTATTTCCTTTCTGCACATGTGTAAAGAGAAGGTTGCAGGTAATATTCTATATGATAAGAAACAGACTTACATTTTTAATGTCCTTTTTAACATTTAAGGTACTCTCTAGACCAGAATTTAAACGTGAGAACAGTTGTACAGAGGAAAGCGTATTCCCATCGTCCTAATAACTCTGGC